ACTGTCAGTATTGCATCAGTGTGGTTTAAGAAATGGAATCATAGGACCCTGCTAATATTTTCCAGTTTAGTGCAAGATCCAGATACCTTGTGACACAGGTTCAGTAGTTCCTAGGCATAGTCCCTTTTTCTGTTTTGCACAAAATGCAGGTACTCTTTCAGATGGTTTTTCCTTGCCGCCCTTCCACCAACCATCAATCACTGCTGGTAAGGATGAAGGCTGGATTTTATTTTGTTCTGTAGTGATGAGCATGCCTGTTTTTCTTCACTCTGGTTATCCAGATCTGCCTATGGCTCTCAGAGCTCTTTCCCCAGATCTCCTTCTTTTGTAAACTACCTTCCATTCTAAAATTCTGTACAGCCCTGGTGACTTGCTTTCTGCTAACTCCTTTCTATTTCCAGGAAACATGACAAGGATCTCTAAACCATTTGAGTACAATACTTAAGATAGCTGAAATCCCTGGGCATCCTTTCTAGAAACTTAGGTGTCACCAGAGGCTCTTTAACTAAAGACTCTGAGAACAACCCCGTTTTCACGCAGGTATAAAGGATTTTACTGGGGAAATTTCATCTTTCTGAATCTTACAAAAGATCAGACAAAAGGAAGGAAACTGTGTGGGTTTTTTTTTTTTTTTTTTTTGGTAACTTAGGAAGAAATGTTTTTTGGAAGGAAACTCTTGTTTATTATCTTAACCACAGAAGTTCAAAGAACTTTTCGGGTGTATAATTGACACAGAAGAAAAATATTTAGATAATCCCTTTCCATGCAAAGAATGCTTTTTTTTTTTTTTTTTTTTGGTAACTTAGGAAGAAATGTTTTTTGGAAGGAAACTCTTGTTTATTATCTTAACCACAGAAGTTCAAAGAACTTTTCGGGTTCTGTGTAAAAGGAATAGAGAAATGGAGTAAGACCTTATCTCCCCAGGAGCATCTGCCAAAAGAGAAGGAAGAGTCTGGCAGCCAGCAAAAAGGGGGCTAGGGTATGTCCTCTATCTGCCTTTCCTTCAGGGTCTGGGAAAGGTGGAAAGAGCAGTAGAAGGGACAGCATCTGTCTACACTGCCCTGAGACTTGCCTTGAGATTCCCTTGATGGAAGCTTTGCAGAAGTTCTGAGATCCAAGACAAGTCCCCCTAGTCCAAGCACACCGCAGTTTCCTGATGACTGTTTTCTTCCAGATTTTGAAGGAGGGTAGGTAGCTGAAGGATGATAATTTTGATTCTATAATGAAGTCCTATGGACTCAGAGGGAATGACCAACCTCAGAAGCTTGTAATAATAGCCAACACTTCTGTAGCATTTACTGTGTGCTAGATACTGTGCTAAGCACTTATACATTTTAACCACTTCACCTTACTTCCTCTGAAGGTTGTACTATTTTTCTCATTTACAGATGAAGAAATGGAGGCCAGAAAGCTTGTGACAAGAGTCATGACCAGTAGAGCTAGGATTCGAACCGTGAGATTCTGTTTACAAAGCCCATGATCCTTAACCACTACACTCCTCTTTTGAATGACCTCCACGGGTAGGTAGACCTTATAAAAGAGCCACCCTCATTATTTAGAAGACGTTATCTAGAATGCACTCTGTGCCAAGTTTCTCTCTCCTGCACATCCAGCCTGGTCCTGTAAGTGGTCATTTGTTCAGCAACCCCAAACTTGTTTTAATATCAGCCTTTGCCAGGCACAATTAGGAAAGGGAAATCTACTGCAAAAACACAATGGAATCAGGTATAAGAGTCTGAGGGCTCTGTACTAGTTTTATTTATCCACGTCACCATTTCTCTCTGGATGATCAGATTCTTTGAGAGGTAACTATAGCACTTCACATACTGAAGGCTTTGGTCCTGGACTTTAGTACTTATGATAGCAAAAGGGTGATGTTGACTCAGGTGGCTGCTCTGGGCTCAGATTCCATTCTTGTCCTTAAATCCTTTCTCAAACAAGGTGAAATATGATTAATCACAGCCCCTGTGTTTATCCACTCAACACATTTATTTTTTTTTATTTATTTATTTTTTTAAAAAGATGACCGGTAAGGGGATCTTAACCCTTGACTTGGTGTTGTCAGCACCACGCTCACCCAGTGAGCCAACCGGCCATCCCTATATGGGATCCGAACCCGTGGCCTTGGTGTTATCAGCACCGCACTCTACCGAGTGAGCCACAGGCCGGCCCTCAACACATTTATTGAACATTTACTGCATTCAGAACTTGTGGTGATACATATAAATAAACCATTAGAACCTCTCAAGGAACTTACAGTCTAGCAAAAGATAACACACATACGGATGAACCAACTCCAAAATTCTCAAATGACACAAATTCAGCAAGACTTCCGTTGTTTAAAAAAAGGCAGAGATGATAAATTCAGATTTAAAATTAGTGCAAAACTTAGGCCGAAAAGCTTACACCTGCCTAAACCTCTCTATATTTTTAATTAACATCATATAAAGAGATTTCATTTACGGTATATTTTTTTAAAAAGATGTTGATTAGGGCCAGCCCGGTGGCGCACTGCTACAGTGCGCTGCTTGGGAAGCGCGGCGGCGCTCCCGCCGAGGGTTCGGATCCCACATGCAGACCGGTTCCCGCTCACTGGCTGAGCGAGGTGCGGGCGCAGCACCGAGGGTTGCGATTCCGTTGCCGGTCCCGGTCCGGTACGGGCACGACACTGAGGGTTGCGATCCGTTGCCGAACACGAAAAAAGACAAAAAGGAAAAAAAAAAAAAAAAAGATAACACACAAGCCCAAATAATCATAATACACAGGAAAATGTTGAGGTATGAACAAAAAAAGGAAGAGACCATGCCTATCTGAGGGATTCTAGATCTAGGAGGAGTTATCAAGTCATGAAGAATGGATAAAATGTTTATTGGGAGTACCTGAGGAAGCCTGGGCTCCCTCAATTTCCCAGCTCCAATGGAGGAACAGCCACTTGAGAGGAAAAACTTGATCGTGGTTCTTTCCCTTCATCTAATGTGTCCACAGTTGGAAGAATGTGTGCTGCTAATCCTTGGGGGGAAAAGGCAGAGGAAATCAGAAATAGAAGCTCTGCTGCCAGCCCATTACTCCTGGGAGAAGCTGCCTTTGAATTTGGCCATTTAATTTATTTTTTTCACTGTTCCAAGATTTGTACAGAAACATGGGAGATGGTTTAGAACTTTTTTATTCGTCAAACCCAGGGTTGCGATGGGGAGGACGGGTAAGAAGTCCAAGGAGAGAAGTGGTGCTGGTGGGGGGGTAGGGGGTTGGCGAATTAGGTTGTATGAGGGATGGCTCTAACTCCTATCTTTCGAGATATATTTTCATCTTAAAATTTATCCCAGAAACAACCTCAAGCTAGAAGCTCCCTCTAGGGGTCATCTCATTTGTTTTCCTACCTCTGGTGACAAAACTTTTTGCTTTTGTGATGTCAGGGTTCATAGCAGGTACACCCCTCCAGAAGTCGGTGACCATGGAAAGTGTTGTTCACTGCACAAACTCAGACACCACCAAGTTACTCCCACTTACTGCCCCATCACCACACCCTACCCCTGGTCAGGGAAACAAGTCTTTGCAGAGCTCAACTGTTTCATTTTCCAGTTTAGCTTTTTGGATGCTTACCATGTCTTCTGGTTTGAGTACAAATAAAAGAATTAGGCTTTGGAGGGAAAGCTTTGTATAAATCTCAGTCAGAAATGAACAGCCCCAAATAACTTTTCCGCTGGGTTACTGCCACTGGGCAATGTCCTTCCCCAAGCTCCCCTAAGTTTCATTTGTGGCTAAGCACTCTGTCATCCACTGAAAATACCACCAGGAGCAGGCCAATCTCCTTCATGTGACCTGGGACTGTTCAGAGAGCATCACTACTCTGTACAAAACATGGATCCTTGTTTGGTGCAGAAAACACCAGCATCTGGTACATGTCTCACACCAACTTCACTAGCGGGGATAGATGTTTAGACCCCACAATTTTCCCTCCAGACTCCTTGGTAACTGCTAAGAACTAAGTAAGAATGCTCTGTACTAGTGTAGGGGGCTTCATGAAGCCTCCAAATAACATTACTCCCAGTGATCCTCTATGAGAAAGAACATGGGCTTTGGGGTTAGACTTTGAATTGAATCCCACTCACCCTTAAATAGCTGAGCCCTATTTGTTAAACCTGTTCAGCCTCGGATTTCCTATCTGTAAGAGAGGGTTGAAAAATTCTACATGGTAGGTTTTACATGATGAGGATGTAAGATATAAAAAGCATTAAGCATAATCCTCTTCCCCACATAGAATAACTTAAACTCTCTCTACTTATCAGTGAGAGAGGACTTGAATCTCTCTCTCTCTGCCTGTGGCTTAACCTCAAGGGCATGTGCTCAGCCTATTTAGAGGAGATCCAATGGCCTTAAACATGTCTTTTCATGAGAATCCTAGATGGCAGATTTCATAATCCATGATGGTTTATTAGCAGGGAGAAGGGGGAAAACAAAAGTGAGAGGAAACCATACTTGACTATTCTTGAACCTGCGGTGGGAGATATTATACATGGGGTGAAAGGCGTGGGCTTTGCAGCCAAATACCGCACCTAGGTTAGTTTCCCTGTTTGGCCAGGGACCTTGGGCCAATTATTAAATCCCCCTGAACCTCAGTTTCATCCTCTCTGAAACGAGGAGAATATTAAATGGAGGTGAGTAATATATACCTCACAGGGTTGTGAATACTTAATGAGATAATGCACACTGAGCACATATTAAATGCTGTTAGCTATTAGTAATGGAAATTATTAACCTGCCACCAGGGCATCTAATTGGCAAAGGGTCCCCACCTCTGCAAGGCCTGTGACGGGGATGGGCTGCCTTCTGTGTCAGTCTCACTAGCTGCGTTCTGCTCATCCATAAACACCGATTTCTCCTCTGATTAGGGTCACAGGGTGAAATTGTTGGTTTTGATGATTGTGAAGATTGCTTTGAGTCTGTTATTGACCATACTAGGGCCCTAGGCCTGTTTCCCTTTTTCCTCTGTTGCCCCTTAGGGTCCATTGAGACGGGGAGTGGTACTTGAAGTAAGGGGTCAGTAGAGCTGAGCTCTGAGGTGTCGGAACTGGTCATGAAGGGTGGAGAAATGTTCTTAGGGCCTCCATGGAGGTCCCAGAGGTTCCCCATCTCTACCCAAATTACTGCACTTCATCTTTTCTTACTGTGCCACCAACTGCCCAACCCATAGTGTGTGTGTGTGTGTCTGTCTGTCTGTCTGTCCCACTTTCCCTCTCCAGCTGCCCTCAATCCTGGACTCTTCCCATGTCAGCAGAGAAGATTGCATTTATTCTCACTTTGCTCTCCAAAGTCGGCTGTGGGGACAGGGCTTGTTCTCCTCTCCTGATTCTTGTTCCGGCCATAGGCAGGAAGCGGCAGCAGCGATCCACAACCAGCTGGAGCAAACAGCCAGTTCTCCAGGGGCACGCTGGGCACCATTATTATTCCATTTTATAGATGAAGATGCTGAAGCACGGTGAGGTTAACTTGCCCACAGTCACATAACCACTATCTGAGCACAGGCGGTCAGACTCAAGAGCTTCTGCTCTTCCATGACTTTGGCCTTTTCTCATTGCCACCCACCCTGGACATCAAGAAGATTTGGGGACCCTGAAGCCTAAAATACCTGGTTCCTCTTTATAAAGGCTTATGTAATATAATTAAAGCAGCAATGATCACTAAAATAATTCTCAGACCTCTAGTCAGCACTTCCAGGCAAGAAAACATTACAGCTGCAGCATGGTGTCTCTGAAGAGCTATTGGGTCACTGGCCCGGTGTTAGACTGAGTCCTGGGAGGCAGCAGCTGTCCTGGGCACTGTGCTGTGCCCCAGAAGGACAAAGCCTCTAGTTCCTCCTGTCTCCTTCCTATTGGCAGCCCCTTTCTATCTGATTTAGCTAATCTCCGCCTGAGTATCATGGCTGTTGGTGCTGGGGAAGGGGTGTATGTGTACTAATTTGCCTACCTCTTTAGGAACTCTGGGATATTGAGGAAGGCCATCACGAATTTAATTTGCCTGAGGTCCTGTAAGCCTTCTGGGAGGGAAGATGAGGGGATTCTGAGGCTGAGGTCAGGGTCCAGAGACAACGGAGGTGATTAAAGAGTTCTTGTAGTACGTTGGCAATGTACGAGCGAGTGGCTAATGAAGAGGACCCCTGGAGTCCTTGGCAGGGCAGGAGCTTGGAGTTAAAAACCATTAGAGTAGCCCCCCTACCCCTACAAAAGCCCTCTACCAAAGAAAACAAGAATTAGGGGCCGGCCCGTGGCTCACTCGGGAGAGTGCGGTGCTGATAACACCAAGGCCCCGGGTTCGGATCCCATATAGGGATGGCCGGTTCGCTCACTGGGTGAGTGTGGTGCTGACAACACCAAGTCAAGGGTTAAGATCCCCTTACCGGTCATCTTTAAAAAAAAAAAAACAAAAAAACAAAGAAAACAAGAATTATGTGTTAATCCTTTATAACAAGACTGTGCAATAGAATTTTCTGTGATGATGGGAATATTCTATGTCTGTGCTGTCCAATAAGGTAGCGACTGGCCACATGAAATGTAACTAGTGCAACGAAGGAAGTATTTTAGTTCATTTGAATTCATTTACATGAATTCAGTACTGACTATATTGGAGAGTGCAGCTGTAAGCCTGTTCCGTAAAGCCTTGGTACTCCCAGAGGTCAGGGACCAGTTAGAAGTGGTGGTTATGGGCTTCCTAAGGATCAGCCGGCATCATGAATGACTCAGTAACTATCCAGACCGGGAAGTCCATGACCGACTGACTACTTCAGAGGAAACAAATGGTCATTGACGTTCTTCACCCCAGGAAGGCAATAGCACCTAAGACAGAAATTTGGGGAAAATTAGCCAAAATGTACAAGACCACACCGGATGTCATCTTTGTATTTGGATTGAGAACCCATTTTGGTGGTGGCAAGGCAACTGGCTTTGGCATGATTTATGATTCCTTGGATTATACAAAGAAAAATGAATCCCAACATAGACTTGCAAGACGTGGCCTGTATGAGAAGAAAAAGACCTCAAGGAAACGGTGAAAGGAACGCAAGAACAGAATGAAGAAAGTCAGGGGACTGCAAAGGCCAGTGTCGGTGCTGGCAAAAAGCAGGAGTAAAGATTCTCCAATGACTTCATCTGTGATAATTATGTGAAGTTTTCACTAGAGGATTAATAAATTGTAAAAAACTTAAAAAAAAAAAAAAGAAGTAGAGGTTATGTATGCTCAGAAGGAGAACTGTCATTTGGGGTCCACAGCCTTTAACTGTGATGGTCAAAATATATATCTATCACCTTGGAAAGAGTTTAGTCACTAAAGTCAGACAGACCTGGGTATGAATCTTGTCTCTTTCATTTATTGACCCTAGGACCTTGGGCAAGTTTCCTTTAATCATTTAGAGTCTCAGACACAGTATTTGTAAAATAGGAGACTCATACCTACGGGGGCAGCTCTTCTTCCATGAGGTCTATAGAGCCTGCTTCATTCATTCAACAAATATTGATTGAACACCCTCTTTGGCCAGGCCCTGTGCTGGGTGTACAGAAGTGAACAAAGCACAGCTCATCTTTGCCTCCTGCCGGTTGTAGGGTGGGATTTGTCAAATGATGAAATAGTAAAATAACATCTAGCTCAAAGGGTGTTCTGAGGGGTACACTGGACAGTATACGTACAGTGCCTGATTCAGAGTTTCTGGTACTCACATGTCCACCCTCCTCTCCTGGCACCTTGCTTCTCTCCTGCCGAGGGTCTGTAACAATGCTGCAGGCCCCCTCTTCGCTTCCGGCTGGCCACACAGAAAGGAGACAAAAGTCACTATCTTCTTCCCTCTCTTAAACTACAGACAGAATTGGATGTGTCCCTCACGACAAAACAGAAAACAAATTATCAGGATGGGTGCACCTTCGTCTTGTCCGGCACTATCCTCAAGACTTGAAAAGAGCAGAAAGCATCCAAGTGTCCCAATTCACCCCTGACAGCCACGCTGGGAAAAGGCCCCACCTCTGAGAGAGTCCAGTGAGGGAGATGTTGGAGCGGAGTCCTGTTTTCCCCTCATCTGAGTGGGGTTGAAGGTGGTCAGAGAGTTGCTGGAAACCTGGATGCCAGAGTAATTTGGGACATGGACACAGGGACTCCAACCTGATCCTGAAATAGAATTGCTGAGGGGCTGCAGAGCCGAGAGGTGGGAAGGAGAGGAGTGGTAGGCTTGCCCACCTGCCTGCCCTCCCCTCACCTTCAGGAGAGTGCCAGCTGGAGGTTTATTCTTCCTCCTGACACGGCCTGAGAGAGGGGTGTCACTTGACCTCAGGCACATTCCAGAATGAGGCCATGGCCAAGAATAGGACCCAGGAACTCTGCCACCCATCCTGCCTACATTAATCACACATTCCCCAGAGTCAGAGGGAGGCTTCAGACTCCTTGGGGAGGTGATAGGAAGAGGAGGAGGTGGAGGTACCCAGAAGTAGAGCTGGGAAAATGCAGAGAAGACCCCAGAAAGGCCCCTTTGCAGCCTTGCAGACATCCGGGGCAGAAGCACCATGTGGCCTTTGGTCCCAGGATCCTTTGTCCGTCCAACAAACCCCTCAAGTGCTCTGTGAGCCCCTAGGCAATTATTCTGATCTGGATCAGTGTGAGCACAGAGGGAGACAGGGACTGGAGAGTGCTTACGCAGCCTGGGGACAGTGGAGGCTTCCCCGAGGAGCTGAGTCTTGAAGGATGAGTAGGCAGAAGGCTGATGTCTCGCTCAGGAATCTAGGCCATGACTGCTTATGAGTGCAATAGAAAAATACATGTCACATGGTGAGGCCATCAACAGCCTGGGGTGAAGTGCATGCGGCACTGGGGCAGGGTGTGTGTGTGTGTGTGTGTGTGTGTGTGTTTCACAGCATAACATGGCTGTAAGAGCCCTGAAGTCAGACTGGGAGGATTCAGATCTTGGCCCCGCCACTGAACAACTGTATGATCTTGGGCAAGTTTCTGATCCCCTCCAGCCTTAGTTTTCCCACCTACAAGACAGCATTCCACTCATACAGTCGCGATGGAGATTACAAGAGACGGTGTCCAGTGCCTGTCACATAGTAAGTGCTTGCTCGTGCTGGTGTTGTTAAAACAGGACAGTTGACAGAGGGAGTTCTCCGCAGCCTAAGCAAGTCACTGTGAGGCTCTGTACTTCTTCTCCCCCTTCCCCAGTCAGGTTCTGTCCCGATCCCTGCTCTCTGGCCCCACTGTCGGGATGACATCAGACTACGGAGCAGCTGGCTAGACAATGGAGCAGAGTGTCTTAGGAGGCTGGAGGTGCCGGGGGAAGTGGAGGGTGGAAAAGGCCAAGCTGCCCTGCCTCAGAGGCCTTGGGGCTGGTCTGGAGGCAGCCACGGAGAATCAGCCTCTGAAAAGGCCGAGAAGGGCTGGAAGGGAAGGAGAACCGAATGGACACGAGAGGGGGCGGAGTCAGCATCTGGTGCAGTCAGGGATGCAGGTGAATCTGGCCTTGGCGAAGGAGGCCTTGATCTCCCTACGCGCTGGGGCCCAGGCTGGGGCCAGGTCTCCCGGGTTGCTGGCCGCCAGGCCCTGTGAACTCAGTTCAACCTTTGCTGAGCACCTACCAGATGCATGAGGCGTGGGGTAACAGAGGTAAACACTCAGCTTGGTTTTAAAGGATAGAAAAATAAATGCCGTGCAGTCGGTTAGAAATTACAATAGATTCGAAACCACCCATTCCCTAAGTGCCCAGATTTTCTGGACCCCCAACCAGCCTGTGAGGAGAGCTCAGTTTGGGGGTACTCTGTGAGCGACAGCATAAAACATTTGAAGATGTGGCCACCGAGCCCGTGAAGCCCACGGCCCAGAGGGGGATGCGAGGGACGGCTTCAGGTCCCGGGGGCCTGCTCTTGGCCAGGGAGCTGCTGAGGGTGGGAAGGGACATGTGGCGGCCACTCTGTGCCAGGCTCTGTTTCCCAGCCTTTTCGATTCTGTAAGGCTAATAGGGTCGAACTCCCCAAGTTTCCCTAAAGTGGTCTTTCTACCCTGTTTTATGGAGGAGGCT